GTGTTATATTTTATATGACAGGTTTGTGTGAGTCGCATCTTCACCTGAGTGATTCTACTGGTCACAGCAGCGTGTGAGGATTATATCCAGATAAACACGTCAGTTGTAAAGTGAAGCGATGACTTGTACAGTGAATATAAATATATTAAATACAGTCATTAAATAAACCGTCAGACATCAACCTGTGGACATCAGATGGAAAACAAGACGTGAGGGCTGACTCCAGGCGAAACGTTCACGTGACCGAAGGAAACCGTGTAAAACTGATGACTGATGAACGAACGAAGGTTTAATGAGACTCGTCGCTGACGCTGTTAGTTAATTGGGCTAAAGTCGAGCTAAGCGCTTCGCTGCATTCACGCCCGATCCGGGGCTGCGCCGCTAAAGCAGCTAGTTGGCTAACAGAGTCCTAACGGCACAGAGGGGCAGCGGCCGAGCTAGGTGGCTAATGCTACACGGCGGTGCTCACAGAGAACACGAAGAGGCCGGAGACTAAAGAGACCAACTCACCTTCTACACGCTGAAGACAAGCTACGGTGTTAGAGTCGAGGGTTTGAATCCCGGGTGCTTTCCCCTCTTTGTTGTTCCTGTGTGTTCACTGAACATCCGGCCGCCGCTGGAAACTACTTCCGGCTTCTGCCGCCGCCGCCGCTCACCGGGGCGCGTCCACGGCCGCAGCGGGTGTTTCGCGTTTCTCTGTGTCCACGTTTATCTTGTTATCGATCCGGCGGAATAATCAATTCAACACCGTGACTCGGAGATTTAATTTAAACCAACGACGAACTGAATCACAACCGTTAGGAAATAAAGCGTGGCCGTGCTGCGTTCACGTCCCGCGGCTGGAGCTGGGGTACGGTGGCCGAGAGAGCACAAAAAAACAAAAAACACTGCGACTAAAGAAATCACACAACAAATGTAAAATAGATCAAATAAACATGTGCAAATTAAGAAAAACAACTTTATTCATTTAAAGACAGACGCAGTGAAACAAGTCACAACACATGAAAGTACAGAACAAACTTTTATTCCGTTAGTTCAATGTGAAGAGTGACATTAATGAAGTGTTGAGTGTGAACAAATCAAATAGTTTGACATTATTCAGTCAGGTCCCTCTCTAGTCATTGGATGTATTCACACTGACTCAACATGATGATATTAATGTCTCAATATTGTAAAGTTTTAAGTTTTAGTCTTTATTTTCTTCATATTTAAATGTACGGAGGAACAAAAACAATCTCACTAAGCATTGCACTGTGTATGATTGTGTATGTGACAAATCAAAGAATCTTAATCTTCTTGATAGAAAACACTGAATTAATTTGACCCTTGATTTAATTTGTGTAAAAAAATCAAGTTAAGTCAAGATAATAAAAATATATAAAATGAAAGAAAGAATGCTGAGTATGAACATTATATCCACTTTTCGCTGTGGTGGTTTTTAAAGATAATCATTTAGTGGAGACAGATTTTAAAGTTTCATTTTGTCTCGTGAACGCTGCACACTGGAGCAAACGCTTGTTTTCTCCCATCCTTCCTCCTGCCACGCGAACGCAGCGTCAATGGTGCCGTCTACTTCCTGGTTCAGAGGTCAACCCGCAGAGAAGAGGATCCGAGAAACGTCCACGAAAACCGACGGAAGAGACTCGACGACATGGTCAGTGAGCGTCGGTGGTTCGGTGTTTGTCCGGTGAAACGTGTCCGTCGTGTTTTTCTCAGCCGGAGAAACGTCCGTCGAAGACGAAACGTCTCCGTTAGCACGAATGTAGCTGCAGCTCGAGCCGCCACAGACACAAACACGAGAATGAAAACACGAGTTCGTGTCATTTATTCACCGAACTGAACACGAACCGGTGTTAAAGTGTGAAATATAAAGTACCGGGAGGTTAAACTGGGACGCTACCGTCACTGTTCGACTCCTGCTGTTGTGGATTTAAAATGTTGAAATGGACAGAGGAGGATTTTCATGCGTTCGCTTTGTGAAACGTGAGAAAACAGAGATTAACAATCATCCAGAGTTCAGTGCTGAGAGTTTTCTGTGATTTCAAAAGAGGAACAACAGCAAACATTCAAGAATCTAAACTCATTCAATGTTTGGCACCTCTCTAAAAGCAACTCATCTAATAATTCACAAATGAACTTATTCGTCGTTAAAAGGTCAGTTTGTCGTTTTGCTGTTTTTATTTCACAATGTGCGTAAAGTTTAAAATGATTTGTTGTATGCAGAGGATGAATAAATACAGCAGTTATAAAGTGAAGCAGTATAAAGTGTCCTGATATGGAAATACTGTTGTTCAGTAAGTACAGTACTTCCAATATAACTTTGTAGATACATGTTTTAAAGACGCTGTTTAGAATTACTGACAGTCGATGTCTTCAGTCTATTTTCTATGATAATTCACTAATCGCCTGCTTTTATTCCCGTCTTACATCTCAAACCTCGTAACAATCGCCCATCACCCGTTAACGAACCATCAGGACTCGAAGCAGGCGCCTCAGAAAGTGTGTACAACTGTGAATATGTGAATGTTGTAATGTTGAGGTGAACAGTCGAGCCACAGTCTTAACAACATGCGTCTGGTTCTTCAGTCCCACACCATCCTGCTGGTGCAGCCCACCAAGAGGCCCGAGGGGAGGACGTACGCTGATTACGAGTCGGTCAACGAGTGTATGGAAGGTGAGCCGATGGAGTACCACGTCATTGCTCTGAATATAAGTTAAGATACGATAAGACTTTATTAATCCCGAAGGAAACTCTTGTGCCAGCTCGCTGCAAGATTACAGAACAATGTAAAGTAGAATAAAACACAGAAAAGATAAATAAAAGCACAATAAAGTAAAATATAAGTGTATAGTAATGAAATAAAAAAGTGTATTGAGAGAAACTAATACTACAGTGGCTGTAAGTAGCAATGAAATGACAAAAGAGTAAGTAATATGGGAAACTGCAAATGATATTGTAATAAAATACTGCACATGATATTCTTTTGAATACAGATATAAGTACATTAACTGAGTATTTATCTGACAGTAAGTGATTTTTCTCTCATGTGGACGATCAGGTTAACAGATCTTCTCTCCTGCAGGCGTCTGTAAGATGTACGAGGAGCATTTGAAGAGGATGAACCCCAACAGTCCGTCGATAACGTACGACATCAGCCAGCTGTTCGACTTCATCGACGACCTGGCGGACCTCAGCTGTCTGGTGTAAGTTTGGAAGACTGGGTTCAGTCCGTCAACACTGCTGGTGACGAACCAGCCGGAGAGGTCCGGCCCATACATATGCTCGACCAATTTGTTTTGTTTTTTAGAAAAAGTGCAAACGTAGATGATCTTTGCTCCTCAGGTATCGAACCGACACGCAGACGTACCAGCCGTACAACAAGGACTGGATCAAGGAGAAAATCTACGTGCTGCTTCGCCGTCAGGCCCAGCAGGCGACCAAGTGAAGCCTCCGAGGAGCTGAGGGGACGGTGGAGAGTCCAGGGGAGGGGTGTGTGTTTGTGTGTGTGTGTGTGGGRGGGGGGGGGGGGGGGGGGGTAGTGTTATTTTTACTGTGTGTAACTAGTGTTTACAAAGTTTGACCCAACTTGTTTTTGAAAGTATTTTTTCTCCTTCACGGAGGGGAGGTGTATTTTCTATCTTAATGTTTGACTTATTAATAAAGATTTCATTTTGAATAAGTCTCTGAAGTTTGTCTTTGTTTTCTTTTTTCGTCCACTGGCGTTGAACAATTTTCTGTCTCTTTCCTTTTATTCGGTTTTTCCTTCTTTCTTTTCTCCCCCTGCTTCCCCCTCCTCACTTAGTTCAAATAAACATCATGAAATATAGATTTTTATTCCTCATTGTCATATTTTCTTACAAGCAAATACAGATAAAACACTTTTTCAAACATGAATGAGATTAAAAAAGAATCGTTCTTCCATTAGCTCACTTTCTTGCCTCTTTTTTATTTGTCTTGATTTTCCTTTTTTCTGTCACTTGCATCTTTTTCTTTCTTTCTGCTTCTGTCACATTTCAGAAAACTCTTCTTATTTTTAAGTGCCTGTGTTTATTTCCCTGGATTTCAGACTTGGACCATGAGATTAAGATTAAAACAATATGTTTCCCCTTCTGTTTCTCCTCACCGGTTTTATTTATCCCTCATGTCTTCGTGTTTTCTTCCCATCGTCCTCTCTCGTGAGTTGGAAAGTTGTGGAGCCTGAATATTGAAAATCTAATTCCCCCTCCTCTGGACACAGAGCTGGAAATATTGATTTGACATTAAAATGGATTTTTTTCGTTTTCTCTGAATGAAGAAAAATGAAAATCAATAGCTTCCATGTGGAAGAGCACGTGCAGCACCGGGGTGGAGGAGTTCCGCACTGGGTCCACGCGGGGACATTTGACGCGTGTGCCCGGCTGACGGAGCTCAGGAGGCGGCCACACTCTCCTCCCTCTCCTCCTCCTCCTCCTCCTCGGTTGTAACCCAGTTTTTTTCCCCTTTTTTTTTTTTTGATTCCTCCACCTTTGTGTTGTGATCAGTGTGTTTCTCACACCCCCACCTACCCATCCTCTCCTCCCCTCCTTCTCCAGCCCACCCTGCCCCATCCTCCTCCTCCTCTTAGCATCTGAAAGGACCGCTGAGTGAGAATCGATGGCGCAGAGGCCCCGCTTGACAGGACAATAAACCACAAAGAAGGGGTGAGTTTTCTCTCCTCCTCCTCTCGGTTGTTGGTTTTTTGCGGGATTTGCTCTCGCGGCTCATCGGTGAAGGAACCACTCGGTTGCGTGGAGCTGAAATTCAACACAAGGCATCTTTTGTTACCGAGATATGATTTACAGCAGCTGCCGCGCTCCCACCCGCAGAAATAACATTATTCTCATTAGAAATAAACGGAGTCTGGGGGACGGCGGCTCCGCGTCCCGCACCGTTTGGCACATTCATTTCACATGGACGCACATTCACCTTACGTAACCTGCAGATGCGTCGCTGGATGCTGTTGTTGCATGAGGCTCGGCTGCAGGTTTGCGTGAGGGTCGTTTGCGTGGATTTCATTGGGCGATGCGGAACCTGGAGGCTGATAATGCGGTGGTCGTGTTGTAAACAGAAATGTGTCAGAGAGGTCTGTCTCCTCTGCGTGTGTGTGTCTGTGTGTGTGTGTCTGTGTGTGTGTGTGTGTGTGTGTCTGTGGTACCTTACATCAGGCTCCAGCTTCCCCACATTGTGTGTTTTATCATCATCCAGCCATGAGGAGAGGAGCAGTCACATCCCAGGAGCAGGGGGAGTCGTCTCCTCACAGCTGAGGCGCCTCTCATGTCTGTGAGAGACACAACAATAGCTCCCATTTTCCTCATCAGCCTCTGGCCTAATCAATACATCCAAATCAGAGGAGATGATGATGATGATGATGCTATGATGGGAGCCGTCAGAACCCATGAATCCCATATTGATCTGATGTGTTTCGTGTTCTGCTAACCTCAAGTGACCTGATGACATGTGTGTGTGTGTGTCCCGTCACGTCCAGCCTCTCCACAGTGAGGACGCAGCGATGCCCCACCACAGGGAGGAGGACCCGTCTCCGTCCCGTCGCCTCGGCCTGGCTCCCTGCCGCCTCCACGCACCGAAGCCCGGCCACGACTTCCCATGAGGCCTCCACCAGAACTCAGCTCGACCGCTCTGTATGGGGCCTCTCACTTATGAAGTATGTTGTGGAGTGTGTGGTTCCCCCGACCTGGGGTCACAGCAGATGTGAGAGGTCATGACACATTTGCCATATATGATATTATACCAGTGTGATATAGGGTCGTGTGTTCTGTCCAGTTCTTTACTAAGAAGGTATCACACAGTTCGATGTCCAACAGCTTGTCCATGAACAGAGCGGTTTGGTCGTGCACCTCCTTCATGGAGAGCTTGCACGTTTCTGCAGAAACAGCTGTAAATCTTTATCATCTGAATAAAATGATTTCAGCACATGAACATGTTCAGTTTTCTACAGTTTTCTATGAGTTAAAATTGTGTGTTTCTGGGTTTTAGGTTTTTTGAATGGTTAAAGGAAAAAGCAAGGCCGACTTATTATGTGAATTCTACTATTGATCTTTTCTATCTCAAACATTTAGGTAATTTAAATGGTTTGTGTTTAAATCTGATACAGAATCAGTTCAGGGTTCCTCACATGAAAATAAAAAGCAGTGTCAGAACAGATCCTGCTTTGATAAATATTCTTCACATGATCACGTTTGTCCTCCTCTTCCCTGCAGTTGACATGGAGGATGAAGATGGGACTTGTCTACTTGATGTTTTGTGGTGAGTTTGAAATAAAAACATTGTTCTTCAGATAATTAACTCGAAGTAAAATACATTGAAGGGAAGACGTTTGTTGAAATTGTGGTTTTTTCTCATTTCACCAAATATTCACTGAATCATTTCCCTCCTCTCCTCGTCTCCTCAGTGACCCCCAAGCCCTGAACGACTTCCTTCATGGGACCAATGAGGTAACAGACGTCCTCCCGAGACTCAGAAGTTGATAGAAAACATTTGACTTGAGAATATTTCTTGGCACATGTTGTGGGAGATGTGGAGGACAGACAGTTGTAATGTAACGCTGCATTCATGAAGTGTAGACTGTTCGAGCCCAACCCAAAATCGTGTGATTTCATCCCACCAGCTGCCGACGGAGGACCTGCTCATTAACTCCTCCTCTGGGGAGCCCTCCCTCTTCACAGATGCCCCGGTGAGTGTCTGGATCCGCCGCCAGCCCCGTCACAACACCCAACACGTTCCCCCCACGAGGATTCCTTTTTCTCTCTGTCTGTGCCTAAAGCTGCTTCCTGTTAACTTCTGCTAATCACACAATTGTCCCCTGCTTTTCGCTCCGCACCTCTCGTCCTGTCTCCCACTGTCTCTCTCCCCCAGAGCCCCGTCTCTCTGCTGGGAGATGGCAGGGATTCCCCAGACACGCCTCCCCCCGGGTGTGTGGATCTGTCCTTCCTGGAGGAGGCTCTCCTGTCATCGCCGGAGGGTGAAGACCTGCAGGTGGTGCAGGGTGGGCAGCCTGTGGAGGGTGGATGTGAGGCGAAGAAGGGAGAAGTGCCGGAGGTGGAGGAGGCGGAGGTGGCGTGTGACATCCTGCAGCAGAGTCTGCAGGAGGCCGACATCACTGAGCAGACCATGGCTCTGGAGGCAGGTCTGGCCCATACTGGGGACAGTCTCTCCCTCTACTCACCCGCCCCTCTCCTCTCTCCTCCCACCGCACCATTCCTACCCAAGTCTGTGACGTTGTCTGTCACGCCGGCGTTGCCCAGAGACACCCAGGCAGCAGTGGAGCCTCCCCAGCCCTCGCTCCTGGCTGTCGGACCCGGCTGCCCCTCTCTAAAACCTGCTGCACCGCCTCAGCTGATGGGGCTCCTGCCTGGAAACGTGTTCCCTGCTCCTTCTCCAGAGACCTCCTTCTCTCTGAGTCCCGCCCAGGGCTCCAGTATGATCATCCACAAGGCTGTTCCCAGTGTGACCGGTCGTCCTCTCATCACTCCATCCCTGAGAGCCACAGCGGCAGCACCAGGGATTGTGCTGCAGAGGGCCCCTCTCCCCATCCAACCCAAGCTCCCCATCAGCATTCAGCCCAGACTGGTTCAAATAAGCCCCAAGCCCTCTGGGCAGAAACCCACACCAGGTCTTACATTCGTCCCTGGGACTGCCTCACCAAATATTTTACTGTCCCAGACTCCAGTCCAAAAGCCCACAGCTCCACAGTCGCAGCCCAACCAGCAGCTCCCCAAACCAGTCAGCCTGCAGTTAGTCAACCAGGGCGGCTCCTTCGTGCTCCAGCCTCAGGGACTCTTCCAAGGCCAAAACCAGTTCCTTCTTCCGGGCCAGTCCCCCGTCACAATCTCCCAGCCCGCCAGTGCGGCTCGACCACTGCTGACTCCCAGTCACCAAGGCCCATCGGTCCACAGCGTGACGCCGTCCACCGGGCAGCTTGTGGACGGCTCTCAGATCCTAACTGTCCCCCAGAGACAGTTGAACTTCAGCCCCGTCTTCACCACCCCCACAGGGCAGCTCGCGCTCCGCCAGGCCACTGTGCTTTCAGGACCCTTGCATCTACAGTCAGCACCCCCCACTGTCTTCCAGATGCCGGCACAGCTGGCTGGAACGTACACTGCAGGAGGGCAGGGGCGGCGCGCCACCCTGGTCCACAGTCCCGCTCTTGGAAACCACATAACCTTGATCAACAGTTCAGGGGTGCTTCCCCCGGATCTCACTTCCATCTCAATCGTCAACGGGCCCTCGGTGGTTCAGGGGCTGCCTTTCGCTGCCCAGGCCCCGGCTCCTCAGGCGGGAGTGACAGAGGGACAGCTGAGCCTCCAGCAGGCGTCTGTGGTGCTGCTGCCAGAGAGAGCTGTTCAAGAGGAGAGGAGCAGCTCAGAGGAGACTTTCCACCAACTGCCGCAGGTGAGTTTCCACCTCTGCATCGAGAGAAAATCCTCTATAGTGAAAATGTTGAATTCGAAAATGGTCCCAGACTTCCCTCTCCGCATGTCCTGCAAGACTGAACCCTGACGTGCCCTCAAGCACTTTGAGTTGTCGTCAAAACTAGAAGAACTGCGATAGACCTTTTCAAAATAGATAAATATGCTGATGTAAATGTCTATTTCTTGTAAATGCAGTGAATGAAATAACTGACACATAGAAGCTTCATCAGATTTATGCAGAAATCCTCTAAATCCAGTGCTGCTCATTGATTTGCCTCCAATAACAACAACTACAGCCGTGAACAGTAAACGACTCTTTTAGATTTGAAAGCAGATTCACACCAGGATAGATTCTCTGTGTGAACATCGATTGAAACGACTGCAGTGGTTTCTGTAAATGAATTTTTCAAATCAACTGTGGCCTGAATTTCACCACACTGGTCTGTTTCATCTTGTGGAGCAGTGCGGAGCCTGATTTGTGTGTGTTTCTCCCTCTGCAGCCGTACGGACACGTGCTCCAGCACATCTCCGTGCAGCCCCCCTCTGCAGGGCTGCAGGCCTCCTCTCCTCCCGTCGTCACCGTCCTGCAGCCTCCTCCCGAACCACCTCTGGCCCCCAATCCAGCTGCAGAGATGCCCAAACTATTGATGCCTCCGGCCGACATGACCCAAGTGGTGGAGGAGGTGGCCCAGTCCATGAGTCAGAACCAGGCCTTTATGCAACATCTGCAACAGGTCAGAGATTCAGCAAGTTCTTGTCTAGTTTTATGTAAAGTTAAAATACCTGTGGCAGTTTACAGTATGTGTTCTCAGGTTCACTAGCGGTTCACTGACTGTTGGTGGAATTCTATCCCATTTATGTCCTTCGCCAAAGTTAAACGAAATCAAGTGTTTCATTATTTGCTGTAACAGACACCCCGGAGTTCATTCTGTAGTGAGATCATTATTTTTACATTGTTAAATGGGACCCAATGCATTCTGGGATTCTTTCAAACACAGAGTCTATTTGAAATGACTTGTTTGTCACCAGGTGAAAGTTTAGACTCATTTTCTTTTCATCTCCACCACAGCAAGCACTTAACTCTCCCATCGCCTCTGATTTGCTGGTTGGAGCGCTGCCAGTGGTGCCAATGGAGACTCTCGCCTCCCCCGTGGCCAACGAGAGAGAGACCCAACCTCAGACCCGCTCAGTCCCAGATCAGGACCCCCACAACGTGACGTCTGACCAGCGTGTGGAGGCTTCTCCGCTCAGCTCAGATCCTGACGACACGCCGCTGCTCTGCTCCTCCCCTCCTCTCCTCCCTCAGGACACAGGGAGAACAGCTCCGGCAGCTTTCTCCCCTCCAGCTGGAGCTCAGATTCCTCCGCCTGCACCTGAGAGGTCGGCTCCGCAGCCCCTCACAGAGCCCCAAGCCCAGTACCAGGCCCAGCATCAGCTCCAGGTCTCACAGGCCTTATTCGGCCAGAACCAGGTGCAGATCCAGTCGTCGGTTCCCCAGCCTCGGTCCTCGAGTCACACTCCAGTGCACAGCAGCTCTTCCTCCCCCCCTCTGCTGGTCAGCGTCCCGGTGCCTCAGCAGCAGCCTGATCCCGCAGCTGCTCGTCTCTCCAAAGGAGGAGACGACTCCGCTGTCCAACAGCACAACACACAAAACAGTGAGTTTCATCATAAAAGCAGCATCTGAAACCGATTTTCTGTGTGAATCTTACTATTATCATTTTCCTTCCTCATCCTCATCACTGCCACTTTATCAGAGCCAACAGCTGCCTTGGCCGTGGAGAGTAAAGCTTTTACTCTCGATGTCCATCCACACTCTCCCACAGCCCAGGATGTTCACGGGCCCCCAGCTCCCAGAGAGTGTGGCCCCGTCCAGGAGACCCAGCAGACAGGCACCAAGGTGGGAAATCATTTGACTCAGGTCGAGTTCATTAAAGAAATACAGTCACTTTTCTCTGAATTTAAATTTCAAGGATGGAAGAGACTCATGTGAATCCAACAAATTTTTTATCCGATTGCAATTTGAATCACAGAAATACAGAATCCAAAACCACAGACGACTTCAAACCAGCGAATATTCACATTTTAGAAGCTGAAGCCTGATTTAAATTAAAAAAAAAAGATAAATATTTAAAAAGTCTCATTACTGACTGAGTTTAAGCTTTAATGATATTAAATCTCTTGTGTTTTCTGTTTTACACTGAGAATCTAACTATTTAAGATTCTAGATCAAATCTTCTCTGGGTTGAGCTGAATCTGCTTCAGCGCAGAGAGAAATCACTCTGGAATTATTGACTGTTAAACGCAGCACATTTATTATTGATGACTTGAAAATGTTTGCCTGTCTGCGTCTTGTGATCTGATCTGAAATGTGATGTGTGTGCCAGCTGGCAGTTTGTCTGGAGCAGCAGAGAGAGGACAGGATCACACCAGCAATACGCAGGCACAGGTAGGAGATGAAAGTCACCGTGAGATCCGTCCGTCCGTCCGTCTGTTATCTATCCTGTTTATTCTGTGACGGTCGCAGGGGGAGCTGGAGACAATCCAGACCTCCGTGATATAAAACTTCACAGAGGTTCAGAGCAAAATACCTCTCAAACCCAAAATATTAGTTTTTTCCCGCCATGAATTTTAAATAGATGTCATGGAATAATTAACTGAAAATATGATAAGAAATATAAAGTATGAGAATCAATGGCAGCTTTTTGTTGTTGTTGTACGTACGTCTGATCACATTTGAAGCCACCGTTCAAGTATTTAAAGAAACAAACTCACATAATATACAAATAATAATAATGATGTAAACTAAGGTGCCAAAAAAAGTGTGAGACCATCCTGTTGATTTCCCGGGTGTGGTCCCCGGCTCAGTCTGTGTTCTCCCTGCGTCCTTCAGGTTCCAGCAGCAGCTTTGTTTGGACCACGCAGCTGTTCAGCACCCGTTCACCGGCCCGGCCTTTTCCACGCTGAAGGACGCCGTCAGACGCCTGCTGCCGTACCACACGTGTGCCGGTCACCTGCCGACGCAGAGTGACTTCAGTTTAGGTCAGTGAGCTGGAGATGTGGACACGAGTCGGACAAACACAGTAGGATCGAAATGAGCCGCGCAAATTAGAATGAATTCCTCCTCCTCTGCTCTGTTTACACCCTCGTAGATATCAGTTCTGTAATTATGTTTATTAAGCGCCTCACAACGTTAAAGAAAGTGATAAAGAACGTCTGGATCCACACCAGAATGTAATGGTCCCTTCTTGGCCCACGTCCCGTCCTTCCAGGAGGATCCAGAGTTCAGTGCATGTCTGAAAATCAGCTTCCAAGAACTCCTATTGGTTTAAGATGGCCGGGGTTACAGACTTAAATCAAAGGCCATGACAGGAATGTTTTCAGTCTCACTGGGGTTCGATCATATAATTAACGTGATCAATCTTAACGATCGATGATGGTTTCTCTCTCCTCAGTGGACCAGGAGTTTGACTCTGTGTCCGGTTTCCTGCTGAAACGCACCAAGGACATGATCAACAAATACAGGCAGCTACTGGTCAGAGAAACTCAGGTGAGACACGTCGTTCACCCTCGTCTACACGATCTGTGTCCACAATCAGTCCCAGGCCAACAGATCTAAAGTTTCTCCACATTATCTGGAACAAAACACAATGAAGATGTGATTATTTTTTACCTTCATGTGTGACTGGAGTCGTCTGCTCCAGATGTTTGTGTGATGGGGTTTGACTTGTCCTCCACAGCAGGAGAGTCCCTCAGCAGAGATGGTGATGCTGGAGCGACTCTTCCTTCAGGCCGAGCGGTTCGCTTTGGCCGAGGACAGACGCAGAGCTCGCAGAGACCCAGGTCAGTGTCCCAGCAGGACATCAGTCACCACCTCCTACTGCATTACTGCTGCACTGTCTGTTCTCAATAAGAGAGATGCTCGTCTCAAATCCCAGGCCTGAGACTCTGGACGGGGGGGGGGGGAGTGAATTAGTGACACTCTCTCTTTTTTTCTCACAAACTAATTTCGCGGCGCCTCTGAGCGCAACACTTAACCTCCATATTTGCTCCAGAGCAGCTCCCAGGTGTGAAGGTGTAATTAAGCTGCGTAAATGTGGAGCGAGGTCGTGCCGAGAGAGAAAAATGAGATGTGAGAGGTTAAGAGCTGATTAAAGCAGAGCTGTTAATGTTAATTAAAGTTAGAGGAGGGGGGGGGGGTGCTCTTGAACACGGTTAAATGTGCTGCTGCTGGACTCTGGGACATATGAATAATAATAATAATAATGATGATGGGAAACACTGGAATAAATATTTGTCGCTTATTAAACTAAATTTACTTTTAAGCAGTTT